GATATTTGAATGCTGCAAAGGAACTGCAAGGAAATAAAAGTACTTTTTGACACATAACTTGTTTTTATCTGGCAGGGTACAACTTGGTTCCAAGCTAAAGTTGATATCGAGGTTAGCAAAGCATCAAAAATCGCTATAAAAGCCATTGAACGACAGGGTGGAAAAATTACATGTGCTTATTACAACAAACTGGGCCTTCGTTTGTTACTTAAACCAGAAAAGTTTGAAGGGAAGAGGATTCCAAGAAGAGCTCGTCCTAATACAAAGTTAATGGAATATTACACAAGTGTTGAGAACAGAGGATACCTGGTGGATCCTGATGAACTTGAAAAGGCCAGGCAACTTACTTACAAACTTGAAAATGAAGTGGATTAATGCAGAATGGACTTACTTGTAGTGGGGCCTTAATAGGGTCAGTAAATGACGTTTTACATCATCAAATAATATGTGAACACTAGTTACATGTAAATAATAAATAACGTTCTCTTCCACATATCCCATATGGCCTGTAGGAGCTTTACGGCAAAATTTGATATTGACTTCCCTTCTCTCTCACTGTGTGGAATTTTCAAATACAGATCCAGGGAGACATGAACATTAGCGTGATAAGTACTTTTTGATCGAGGGTCGTGAACCAATACCATAGTAAACAAAATTTTTAATCAGACCAAAAGCAAATATCAGAAGCTACCAATGGGACTTCAAAGTTATTCCCGTAACTAGCCGCAAGTATGCAGGAAAACACAAGTGACTTAGTTTTAGTTTATATCTGATTGGTTGAGATTGTGGCACAAGTACTCTAGACTAATCTTGAAGAAAAGTGGGGAAAAACCAAGGTACTCCTGTCAATTACTTCGGACACACTCTTGAAAATTGCATTAAAATATGATGAAAGAACATAACATAGGCAAAATAAACCTGTCATCGACCCTCCCCCGACCCGTCTCAAATCTTCTAGCGGGCGGAGAAGCGCGCATTCTGCCGCGCTCTGAATAACAAAGGCTAGCAATCAACTAAAAATTATTCTTACCCGCAAAGTACTACTTACCTATGATGACTGGTCCATGCAATACTGTCCAGTACACGATGCAAATCCGACGCTAAAGGCAAGGAAGCTTAAGGCTTTCTCTGTAATTTTACGACCTACGCATTCCAGTACAACAAGAGGCATTAAGCTGTAGAGGCCATAGTCCATGTGCATGCACAAACAACACTAGAAATGTCACCAGAGCGTTGTAGAATTTTACCAAGGGTAACAGAAGTAAATACCAAAACATATCGTTGGTAGTTGGTAGCGTTTAAAGAAGCCGAAAAACACTAGAATTTAAACTCACTGAGCTTACAAAAGAAGTGGTTGCTAAAGAACGCGGTAATTCCCCTGTAGGTGTACAGAAGGCTTAATCGCTTCGAAGAAATATTCAGTTCACTTTCGCAAAATTTCACTTGTGTCAAAGGGAAAGACTGAACCATAATCCCATTTTAGCTTTAAGTAAAAAAGATTTACTAATCTACTAGCCCTGGTAGTGTTGAATGAATTTGTTCGTGAAATGAAGACGCGTCGAGTTTTTGGGGAGAGTCTTAGAAGAAAATAAATTGTTTTTTCGGCAACGTTTTACCACAAGTCGCCGTTAAATGACTTATTAACTCCCGAAATGCAAGCGCAACTACCACCTCGAGACTTTTAATCCCAGCATCCCGGGGTTGAAAGATTGTATGCAAATGGGAGCTATTTTTCGACCACGGCTAGGAGGGTTACATCAGCTATCTGGGGTCCCCTAACTCCATGTAAACAGGTTCTAAAATAGGATGAAAGACGTACCTACAAATATTGGCATTCTTTTCGTTCTATGCAAAGGGTCATTTCTGAGCTTTTGCTCAAACTCGATCAGCCACCGCATTTCCTCGAATCGGCGCCCGAATGCCTATTCAAAATTTCGGCTTGAAAAACGAGGAGAAATTATCAGAAGGAAGGCACTTAATCGAAGTAAAACAAAAAAGAAAATTAGCTGTTAGGCGTATGACATTGACGAGTTTTAACTGTTGGTCGTAAAAAAATTCATCGTAAAAATTTTCTCTTAAACGATGGAAAGGAACTAATCGTTATCCGTAAAGGATGATCTACCTTGAAACAGAAATTAACGGTTAGTTTTATGTGGCCACGCATGCATGAAAAGAAAAGTGCGCGCGGACTAGGGAGCCATTTTACCAAGAGTTGCCGATGCTCAACTGATAACACCGTTGTCCAGTCGTTTACCCCCTCCCCCCTCCCCACTGCTTTTCGTTCCGTCATAAATAGTTCGGGTTTTTGTGTTTTATGTAGACCTTGAATCTGTTCAATCTTGCATTTATACAATCTTTTCTTTTAAGTACTTGAAATATTCGTATGTGTTTTAACAGCTAAAGAGAAGGAGATCGCCTTTTTAAAGCAAACTCTCTTTGGGAGAGACAAAGACATCTCTGATCTCAAAGAAAAACTGTCCCAGCTAAAACAAACTGTGCAAAGAACTCAATCTGATTTTGTCAAGCACATTGCATCAATAGATGAAAAGCTACAGCAGGTAAGGAAGAACATTGATGAGCTCGAGTGTGGCCTTAATTTTCCTGTCAAGAAGAATAAAACAGAGGCAGAAGATTCCCGAAGCAAACCACAAACATTTAATTGTGAGTATGTAAAGTGGGATGGCGTCGAATCAACTGAGTGGTGACAACGCGGTTGATTCGACTGCCTTGTCTTTATGAACTCATTTTATGGTCTAGGGAAGCGTTAGGGAACGTAGTAGCAGAGGAAAGAGGGTTTTGCATCACCTTTCATTGAAAATAAATCGGTTCTTTCACAAGCTAGGGAAGATAAAAACATACTCAAAAGCGACGAAACGGTCATTTACGGGCCTGATTTAAAAGAACGTTGGCCATTTTACAATGGGCACAACTTGAAAATACCATTTTCCATCCTTAAGACAAGAAGAAAGACTTTATCCTTACAACTTTTTTATAATCTTTTGACTTTATTGAGAGTTCTTCACTTTGATTTTCATCTCTTCTTTTTCTTTCCTTTTTTTCTCAACCAGGCAAAGTTTACTTTGATCTTCAAACATCATGGTTTGACACTCCATCGAGTAACGGTGGATGTTTCAAGTTGAAAACTTTCCAGTTACAGCGAAAGACCTTGAAACCATGAGGAATGTTAAATCAACTTCAAGGGCCTCCACTGAGCGAGCTACAGGTATGGAGAAGGAAACTAGTAAAATACGATTCTTCTACAGTCCACATCTGCGCAAAAGCAGTGTAGTCTTATGAGTCACAAACAGCTAGATACCTACGATTGATAACATGTTCTTCCATACATCGGCTTTGATTTTTTAATTATCTTTTATCTAGGCAAAGATTATTTTGACCATCAACCATCATGGTTTGACACTTAGTCCACATCTGTGCGAAGTAGTGTCTTCTGAGCGTGAAGAACCTATTAAGCCAATTAGAATTGTCAATGTACCCTTCAGCTTTAGCACATTTGCAATGTACTCGCCTGACTCTAATTCAGTGAGCAACTTCATGAGGTGTTACATCAT